CATCATATGGCGGATTATCGCGCCGTCCTCACGGAGGTCATCGACTATGAACGGACTCGTGGTGGTGACGATAGTTTCAACAGCGTTGAAAATAACAGTCCAGCGCGTTGGTTGAGCAAGGCCACAAAGTCAGGTGCTAAGGTAAGCTAGCCTTCTGCACCTAGTGAATAATCTATAATATCTCACTCATTCTTGGTCTTTCGATCCCAGGACAACAGGAAATTCCTTTTACTTTCTTGTTTCGGCTGTTAGCCTTGACCACGTAGCCTGCACCAGACCGCCTCCGTATTCCTACACACAGTGGTGCGTTTCGCGGACTGCGTTCAGTATCCTGACTATCGAACAGTAACGTCCATTTCAATTTATTTTCTCAAGCACCGACAGTTGCCAAACTTATTGCTTTCTGCGGAACTTTTTGTGGCAAACATTGCTTTAATGATCCGCTAAACAAGACAGGGGAATAGGAACGCGCCATCCAAGTAATAAAGGCGGCTCAGCGCACAAATCAAGGGAGAATAAATATTCCCATATCTTAAACTTAATACTACAATTAACCCTAACCTTAAACCCCACTGTAAACTTAATTCTAATCCCAAACTTAAATAGAAATCTAATTTTCATGAAGTTTTCCACGGTTCCTGTTCCCATGTTCTGTTTAGGGGGAGGGGGGAGTTGAGCATATAAGTGATCCTTACCCTTTTTGCCTCCCCACATCTTTCCCCCAAGAATCGCAGAACGCGAATTGAAATCCAAAAATCTGCGAAAGCGCTGTCTAATTTCACTTCGCATTACCCAATAGGTATCTTCGAAGTGGGTTTGACTACAAATGACAGCCCTTATATGACTGTGCACTTCTCTTTTCTGTCTGTGATTAATTAAGTTAGCATCTGAATGTCACAACTTCTGCACCTCACTAGCCGTTTTATGGGTCATCTTAGTAATTCTTCGTTTGTCGTCGAATTCGTACTTGTGGTTGTTAATGCCTGGCAGGCGATTGGTCGCCACTTTTCACTGCAGCCTCGCCTTGCCCTGTCGTGTTTTGTTATTCGACGGCCAGTGACTGACCGGGGAGTCCGATTGGTACGCATTGGCCACGCATTCTATTACTTCTGGCACCTTTCTCGGTGCAGCGCGTAGCGTTATGCCCTAGATGCAGGCTTTGTGTTTCACAATTCCCGGGCATCAACTGAGGAGGCTTCTCATACAGTTTATCTTACGAACTAGGCAGAAGTTCGATCCCTCGACAATAATTCAATTAACCACCGACTGTAATGGATTTCGCAACAATTTTCAATGAAAAATTATCCGCCCAAAAAGGTTACCTCATTTGGTACTCCGATTTATAAATTTGCAGGACCACATGCGGCTCGTTGAAGGTTCTTAACTTTCAATAAAATTGAATACGGGAGTCCCAAGAAGTAATTCTTATACTATGTTCTGCTCGTCTCTGGTGAATAGTCCGCGACAGAGGTCGAAACGTCAGACGAATAAGAGTGTGTGATCGAATCTTCTTCTTTTCGGTTCTTAACGGCATTTATCTTCGTAGTCGCCCTACCCTTCTTGACACGGTAATGATGCTGAAGTATGCAGCCGTGTTTGTGATTCACTAGTTCCATCTGCGCCGACTTAACAAGTTTTTAGACGACACCCATTAGTTGGCTGCTCCTCTCAGGTGGTGGTCTTGCTGAAATTGCACGAATAAAATCTCAGGACTTAGGAGGAGTTGCACGTCTCTACGCTTGGTTGCTTTGTTATGTTCTGAAAAATTAATCGCTATCTTGGAGTAGAGCAACCTTTATGCGGCTTTGCTATCTATTACATCCTTGTTTGCTCCCGTTGCTGACAACAGCAAATTGTGGGGTAGGCTTGAGTGGGCATACGAACAAAGAGATTATTAAAAAGGGTCTTCGACCGAATAAAATCAGCGGTTGAGGCAGCAATTCAAGGTTCTGTGCACAATAAAGTCATCACTTTGGTGACTCTTGCCTTCTACCTTCAACCAGGGATTTGACCTAATGATTGTAGTGATTCGAGTTCAACCGCTACTTAGACCCCTACAAGGACGACTCTTGATCAGATGAAACTGTGAAAACATACGATCGGGTCTGCCCTTCGTTTGATCTTTATCCTTCCCACCTTAGTATTCGGCGGTGGTGATCAAATTAAGCGCTTGCGTTTGTCTGGCCATCGCCGGGAAACGATTTTGATTATAAAAACGTACGATCCCTGGCATTTTTGTGTGTGAGATGTAACCACTTGCTCAATAGGCCTCGTGTATTATCACCGTAACTCCTTCTGCTCCGACCAAAAGTGTTTCGCTGGGAGAATCTTCCTATTCTCAATTGTTGCTGTTCTAAATCTCTGATTTTACCGACCCATTCCAGTTTGTTAATTTTATGATATGAAGATCACCGTTGCTGAGTCCTAAATAATCTTTTTTTTCCAGAGCCGACTGGTAGAGTCACGCACTCTGAGTCTGAACTTCTGGTGTCTGAATCCCGCGGTCTGCATGTCCAGTCTGGCCGCCGTTGCACACAGTCTGATTCTTGCCAGTGGTACCCTCGCTCCACTGGATGCCCTCGCCGCTGAGCTTGGTCTCGAGTTCCCAGTACGGCTAGAGGCGAATCACGTTGTTTCTGCTGATCGTGTCTTTGCCGCCAGCATCGCCAGAGGTCCGGGAGGCAATCGTCTACTGGCAAACTACACCAACCAGAATTCATTCGCCTTCCAGGACGACCTTGGCAGCCTTATTGTGGAGGCCTGCCGTCTGGTACCGGGTGGCGTTCTCTGTTTCTTTCCCTCCTACAGTCTGTTGGACAAGTTGGTTCAGCGTTGGGAGGTATGATGCTCTCATTGCTGTTTTTCGCTTACAGTTCCTTCTGACATTTATGACATTGCGCCCTGCAAAACCCCTGTCCTCTTAAACTCTTTCGTCTTGCATTAGTTTTTTTGTAGGATTGTCTATGGGTGTTTGTTCGATTCGATACCGGTGATTGCGGATGAC